AAACGCAATTTTTTGCCCATTTTTTGCAAAACTTTGCCTGCGGCGCAGAAACTTCGACAAAAACAGGGTCTTTTTTTAAACTGGAAGAGCTCTGAAAATCAATTTGGTCGACATAAAAAAAGGTCGACAAAATTTTCGACGTTTTTTTGAGAAGCCGCCCCCTTATCAAGAAAATCTTAGATCCACCCCTGATTTCCATATCGGTTTGCATTGATGGTAAAATGTCTCAATAAAGTCCTTAGCAGCCCAAGAGTTAGGTTGCAAACATCTATCTGCTGTTTCAATTATTAATTAAGATTTCGTCGGGTTTTGTTTTCGTTTGAGGTTATTTAAACTGTAATAGTAGTTTTAACAAATGAGTCTTTTTGTCACTGGTTGGAGTTGGACAGAATGAGTCCGTTGACAGCCTCCATGCACTCATGCCAGTTGGGGAGACTGGTCATCCTCTCCAGCCAGTTCATCAGGTTGGAGATACAGTTCTGCTCTTGTCTAAGTAACCACAAACAATCTCCAATTTAGTATGTCATATCATGCCCTTATTTTGTTAATTTTTTAAAAATAATTCAATAGATACGCTGAGAGGCTGTTATTGAATGATTGCTACAATAAGGAGTCATATTTGTACTTTGTACGGGTGTGGGGCGATCACATAAAAATAATCTTGAAAAGTCTCAGTTCATAATTGATTATTCTAATTTATGAATGCGATAATTTGACTTTGAGATTCCATCTTGATTTATTTGGGTACTTTTTGGGTACTGAAATTCAATTATTTATTAACATTTTGCGGTTCTTTTAAACAAAACTTTGAACAGAATCATGAAGTGGTTAGTTCATTATGCGGCGTACAATATTCATGATGAACCCACCTGAAGAATCCCGCAGTCTGTAACATGGCCAAGTTTCGGCCTAGCAGGACATCGGCTAGACTGACGTCATCATTGCCGAAGAAGCGACGCACTGTGAGGAACTGGCTGAGAGAAGTCAGAACATCCTTTGAAACAAAAGTCCTGGTTTGAGTTTTTTTTTGGTTTGAGTCTATTTTTAATGCAACAATTATATCATTTTACCGACTCGATTCATTTCGATCTCTGATGACTCAAGTTTGCATGTAGTTATTGTTCTTTAAACTTGGTTTTTCTTCTGGAATTTTTCAATATTATCCAAGGAAATCTTATGAAAAAAGAAAGGCGTAATTTTTGGATTTAGAATTCCCGCTTAATTTTTCCTTGCTTAATTGTTAAACTGCCTTTGGTACTTCTGGAACAAAAAATTGACCAAAAACAGATCATGAAAAAAAAGACGTAACTTACTTCAATTTCTGATTCCTTTCATTGTTTGCTTACCAAAAAATGTGTTGCAAATCGAACTAGACCAAAAATTAAAATTAAATCCAAACTATATCCAAGGCAACCAATTTTGCCGTTACCAAAGTAACAATGATACAATTCCTTACATTGATTTGTATCTGAAGCTGAGCCATGTTGTGGTTTCTGTCGGGGGATCTGTCGAACAGGAAGAGACTGATGTAATTCCTAACGAGGGGGGCGAGAGAGGAGTGCTCGTAGTCCATCATGGCGTCTATCTGGGCTCTCCTCGCAGGGTCACTCGGGTATAGACTCTCCAGTTGGTGTCTGGAGGCATACTTCAGGGTCAGGTACCTGGGAGAAGAAAAAAAGTCACAAGTCAGAAATTAACCTCGTGTTTTTCATGTGTTTTCACTTGAAATTTGGATACACATGATCAAAGCACCTGTGAAAAAAGGTGAACACTTTTAGGAGTATACGTTACAAACATTAAGTTCTGCCAGCTTAGAGAGTTGGATGTATATGAACTTTTAAAAATCCTGATTAAAATTAAAAGGTGATTTTGAGGAAAACGAAAGCTTCGCGAATTCATGAGTCAAGAGAAATTTTAATTGGAACCTGATCTAAACTACATTTTATGATTGGATAAATTAAATGTTTTACCAATGTAAAGTATTTAATATTAACCAATCATGATCCATCTAACTAACAACCCACTTATTTGTAAGTGCTGAAGTTACTTGTAATTTCAGCACCAGAGAGATTTGAATTTAACTTAGAAATTAGTTGGACTCTCCCGAGCACTTCAGCAGCCGCAATAAACCAGTATACCCTAGATCTATTGAGCCTAGCAGAGACTAGTTAAACAACCTGAGACTAGATAGTATAAGAGTAAGATTAGGATCGGTATTAGACTAAGAAGTTGCACGAATCTATCCGGCCGAAAATAAGATAGCGTGACGAGCAGACGGTGTACCCTATCCGAAATTACTCTATGAGTTACACTTCGGTCCTAACTCATCTGGTGCGACCATAAGTCTCGAACAAGACCTTAATAGATTAGAATTAACCAAAATAGATTAGAAATTAGACAAAAACATTTACAAAAATGTTATACGACAATAATTTAATTGAAATGTCTCTCCGACTCAATAGATCAGAGCCAATATTCCGAACCATAACAGAACTACCCGGAATTGGAAGAAGACCTCGAACCAAAGACGACATACGACAAAGTAGAAACTTGCCGTATAGTTATATGATAGTTCGGCAAAAGCCAGAACAAACTTTTATATTTCGAATACTACTTGCAATGAATTTAGATTTCCATTTGCAAACATAAAACCTTGAAGTTACTCTTCAAAATCATTTCAGGCGCTAAACAAAATTATTAATATACAATAACGATTGATAAAAAGATCTAAGATCGTTTTCCTAAAACTCTGCAGTATTATACAAAAAATGTTTGAAAAATATTTATTGGAAAATAAAAATAAAAATTAGTAGCATGACAATAAATGGTTAGTAATCATAAATCATCCTGTTGTTCCAGCTTCATCATCTAAAACATAACAGCAATCATAAACCCACTAATATCATCAAAACACTAAATCTTTCCTTTACACACATTTAAAATTTTATTAAAACTTAAATTCACTTAATTTTAAAACCAGATCATCAAGGCTTATCCTTGGATCTTAAATCATTTTCTACTTAATTAAATTTCAAATTTGATCATCAAGGCTTATCCTTGGATCAAACAGAACAACTTTGTTCTCCCCCACCCACTTAATTAGTGTCTAACGACCTCAAACGTCGATTCACTACCCAACCCTTTCTAAAGACCTAAGACTAATAGAAATTTTTAAACAAAACTAATCATTCAAATTAGGATAAACAGTGAAGAACTTCGGTTATTCATCCTTCACTTGACCCCCCCTCTTACCAGACCCAGGATAAATCTTAGACTTAGTAAGTTTAAAATAGTATCTAACGAACTACTCGCGTTCTAATTATACCTGAACCTTGTGGATCGATTTACTATTCTCCAACCCTTGAACACAATCACTACCCCTAAGTAAGATTAAGTAAGTTAACACCTTAACTTATACTAGCCACGAGAAAGTAAAAAATCATTCTTCGGAATCGATATACTTTTCTCTCCAACCCTGAACAAACAGACCCAGGTTAAGCTAAGCAAAAAATCGTAAGAACTAACAGTTTAGGAAAATAGAAATCATTTAACAACCCTTTGCATCCGTCATTCTAAACCTTATGTCATTTAAAAACCTAGGAAATAAACAAACAATCGTTTTACACAATTGTGAAATAGATAACAAAAAATACGACCTTGTAATCACACCTCATACACAAACAGTTGGATACATTCGAACAAAACGACAAACACTGAAAAGAAAAATAATAACGAAACAAAGACAAATAACACGAAAAAGATTTTCAAAAAATCGAAACGCATTTTCAGAATCAGAAACCAACAGTTTAGACGAACTTTACAAACTAAAAGAATCAATAGATAAAAATTACCCAATTCACGATCAATTATATTTCTCTGACTCAGAAACAACTTCAAATTCATCACAAAGAGGAAAAAGAAGAATAAAAAAGCAGTACAAACACAAACCAGTACATTTATACAATTGGAATCAACCAATTCGACACATTAATAATTACATATTAACAGTCATCGAACGAAAAAATGAGCTCAACGCACACTCCAGGTGAAGAAACTCCAGATGATGATGAAATCTTTCCTTTTATAGTAGACGCAGATACTGATAGAGGACAACACATATTTTGTCAAAATTTACTCGTAAATTTATTTGAACCCGGAATCAGTCCATGTAAAACAGAGTTCCCCGATGTAAAAATCAAAAGACAAATCATAGATCACTATCTAAAAGATATATGCAACATAACACAACAGTATGGAATCTACTCCATAGAATTCACCTCACCAAACCATAATAATAGAAAATATACAATTCAAACAGACGATCTTGATTTAGAATTTTCAAAAGTTTTTTCAGAATATATAAAAAGCATCCAATATCATAACTCACAAAGAGCAAACTCCATATTCACCAATGAAGTTTTCGCAATAATATATAGTTATATTTCGATATTAGAAAACGAAATCCCAATAACAAATGTCTCACCAAAAGAAACATCTAAACATTTGAAAGTACGACATGAAATCACACTACTCTCTAGTTATTTAAACATCATTAAAGAAAATTTCACGAAAGACGACGTTTCACAACATACAAAACACGATCTACAAAAAATTTTGGCATGGTTCATAATAGATTATTTCACACACAATATTGATTTAATTGCACAAGCAAGAAAAAATTTTAGACCCCAAAATTCGAACGATGATACCGCTATCACAGAACAATCAGATTATGTTTGGGACCCCGAATGGTCTCATCCCGCATTTATAAGCTTTCCACAATCAATCTCAAGTCAAGCAATAGGTACAATATCTTACATAAGAGATTATGTAAGAGTAATACCATTAACAATTGATGCAACACCATTAAACTATAATACATTTTTACCCGATACACAAAATAATAGTTTAAACTCTACAGTTATACACAATGAAAACCTCAATGGAACTAGGAATCTTACTCAACAAGATATCCAGACACCATCACACTTCATAAATGAAGAAATTGTACACACAACAACTACACAACAAAGTATTTCACCAATACGCCCAAATTTAACAACACCAAGAAATACAAATCCTTCACAAACACAGGTAACCTTATAATCAACCGTTAAACCTTCGGTTGCCCCTAAATATTCACATATGGATTACCAAACATACAGACCCATGACAATACCACCAAAAACACGCAAAACATTCACTAGAAACAACTTTGCAGACCATAATTATAATTATACACATCCATCAAAAACATATAATCAACCACAAAGAAATTTTAACCAATATACAAGATCTCGAAATTGGGATAACCCAATGGCCCAACCTAATTCAACAAATTTCCAAACAAATCCTCCACGGGATCACAGTGAAAATTACCCATTTTTTCAACAAAATAAAAATAAAAAACAGACATCTTATCAAATGGATTATTTATCCTCAGATGATGATTTCTTACAACCAGATATATTTGCACAAAATACTCAAGAATATCGTAGACAAGGAATACAGAGAACACGTACAAATCATAGAAATTTTTCTCCACAACCAATAGATGCACAAAATCAACAACCAATTCAACAACAAAATCCAATTAATACACAATCTTTTCAACCAATTCAACAACAAAATCCAATGACTGCACACTCGTATCAACCATCACAAATGCAAAATGAAATACCACTCCCATATTATCTCCAACAACATGAGATAACAAGAAACCAACTTTCAAATTTTTCTCAAATGCCAAATGCAGCAGAATCATTACAAATGACAATGAATCCATACCTTATGGGTGGATCATCAATAACATCAAACAAACCTTTAATGGTTTTCACAGGAACAGACCCTGAATACTCTGTAGAAGATTATTTAAATGCAGTAACAGCAAACCTGATTTTAAATATTGGACCTGAACCAATAAATACGCCACTACATCAAAATTGGATACATCGACGCACAGCGTTAATACAAACAACCTTAGATGGCGCAGCCCAAAAATGGTTTTCAGTACTACCTCTAGAAATAAAATCAAACTGGAAAAGATTTACACAAGAATTTTCAAAAATGTTTGACTCCGAAAGAAACAAACAACAACAAAGAGTTTTATGTAATGAAATTCGCAGATTACCAAACGAAACCATCAAGCAAATAGCAGTACGAATCGAAACACTAGTTCGAAAAGCATATTCATTAAATACACATGACTATAAAAACACAAAGATGACAGAAATCTTAATGATGACCTTAACACCACAATTAAGGAAAATAGCAATAAAAAAGAGAGCATCACATCCTTCTTCAATTCGAGAACCCGATTTAGATTTTCGAAAACTAGTAGACAAATTAGAACAAGCAGAAATCACGATGAAACTAGAAGAAACGGAAAATCTGAAATTACAATACGTTAACAGAATTGAAACGACTCCCACTAATATTAATAATATACAGGAATCAGAGACAGACCTCGTTGAAAAAATCACTGAAATACTCAATATCTACGAAAAGAACCCAAACTTTAAAGGCAAACCATCTTTCAAAAAATGGTGTAATTATTGCCGACGATACGGACATAGTATTTCCGAATGTAGACAAAAACAGCAAGACAATCAAAATAAACCTCAAAAATATAAAGAACCAAATAAATCATTCTATCAATACA